TGTAATTCTGGTATCATTTACAGGAGTAAGACAACAAATTCATTTTGCTTAAGAAATGCTTGTAAACCAAACATAAAAGCTGAGGACACAGAAGAAACTCTCCCTCACAGATACATCAGAGTGCTGACATCTCCTCTACATGATCTAATAAAAGCATCCTAAATGACACAACTTCTTTCTACTGAAAGAAGAAAAGTACAAAACATAACCAGAACATACATATGAACAAATGTAATTTATGACTTAATACAACGGAGTACTGCAAATCTAAAAATTGTTCCATCTATATGCATTAGGCTTTCTGGTGAGGAAGGAGTTGGCCAAAACTAAGCTACAAGATACTTTTGGAAGGGTCGTATGGTAAGAACAGAAGCAAAAAAGTAAAACCCAGGAAATATTTTGAATAGCGAAAGCAACACTTCATCTTGCCAAGTAAATTAGCAGTATTTTATCTGCAAAATAACAACATACCTGGAGAGAAAAGCAAGTATGCAGGAATTCAGCCTTCAATCAAAGCTCCTTTACATAAACAAAATTGTGCCAACAAACTTCAAAGACTGTCCAACAATACCAAAAGCAATGTTCTAAGCACATGTAAAGTCACTAAAAATGTGTTCTGCTGCTAAGAACAAACAAACGCAGGCTACAAGCATGCTTTATCACTTTCCTCATGTATCTGTTTTAACACTATTTCTGTGGCAGAATACAAACCAAACCCCATAAACTAAACAGACTCAGAAGCAATATCAGACATTGATTAAAAGAGCCAGGCAAGAGTTTTAGTGGGGCCCCAAGATGGGTTTGGGGTTGCCAGCCTGTAGAGTGTCAACATGCAAATTTATGCTGTCACCTTCAGGGAAGGCACAAGCACCCAACTCTCCTGCACAAGGCAGACAACGGAGAAGCACCTTACAGCTCCAAAATGTTTATTTTTAGTCTTGACAGTGCAGCCCAAAGAACCAACCCCAGTGGCTGAGGAACAAAAGGCTCAGTATCTTACTGCTAATGTCTACATCCTACATCAAAACAAGCCCACAATAAAACAAAATCCACTAAGAAAATAGCCTTTTGTAATCATCTGATGCCACGTATCAGCTACTATACTCCAAGACCTCTCAGTAATCTTGACCAGTTCAGAGGGCAGATAACAGTGCCCTGGCATTCGCGTCTCATTCTGCACAAGCTCAACCTGCAGAAGCTTTTCACAAGGTGCCAACAACTGCCTCTTTTTCCAGTTTACAAAGCAGCTCACAGAGAGCTTATGAAAGAAAATGTAGGGTCTTGGATATTTACTTCAGTCCAAGTTTAAAGGCACCTGAAATGGTTTTTAAAAGCTGCCCAATTTCAGCCTGAACATACAAATCTTAAAACGAAGACCCAGTGGTTCACTCTGTGTTCACAGGTATTTCCATGCTAAGATCAATAAAATATATGTTATATCAGATCTCACGTCTTTACTCAGGGATAGTCTACTGATTTTTTAATTTTTTTTTTTAATGCAACAAGAGGTATTTTACTTAATAGACTTCTGTAACTTGACAATGTAACCATGCAAAAAGCAAGGGAAAAAAGCAAATACCAGACAGGGCAATAGTTGCATGGAACAAAGTCACAAGCCAACGAACAGGACAGAGTCACCCAGAAGTCCACAGGCTATGGATTTAACAGAATTACTCATGACTTTGACAACTAGGCTGAGTAACTCTATAGAAAAATGGTTGTAAAGCAGCCCTCTTCAACTGGGAGGGCAGAAAACAACTGGGCAATCTAAGAAGATGCCAACAGAAGACCCTTGTATAAATTATCACCCGTTGTTACATCCACAGAAGACAAGAAGGAGCCCAACTCCAAGTTACTCAGTTATCTGGAAGCCTATGCTAATAATTTTAGTCCTCTTGCGCTGCCTTTGCTACATTCAATTCTTTGTGACATGCTGTTAGCTCTAGAATACTAATTAAATAAATCCCAAAGGTCACAAGGTAAGGATAAAATTCTCAGTAATTAATCTGCTCAAATTGTAACTCAGTCTGATATTCCTGATGTTACAAACAAACCCTGTGATGTGCTTAAGATGTCTGAAGATGTGGAGTGAAAAATATTTCAGTACATGCCAAGATATAATCAACATTTGCCTGTCATTAAGATGCCACAATAGCTGAAGAACTGTCAGCATGTTCAGTATTGTAGCAGAGAGACAGCAGCCTTTCCTAAAGTATGGCACGTAGGTGAAAAAGAACAACAGGCAAGAACAACAAAGACAAAAGCTTTTGACCTTTGCTCCAAACTGAAAATGTGAATCAGCAAAGCTGGAGAGCAGTTTCTGTACTCTTTAATGTGCACTTCAGAATATTTTAAGTCAGGTGTGCTCATTATACCTTCATGCTTGTGTGATGGAGAGCAAGATTTTTCTCCCTTACCATGGGCTTTGCTAGGGTGAGATCTGGTTTGCCACCACCAGCTCCCTTCCATGCTACAGCATGCTACCCTTTGGATCCAAAATTATACCATGAAGTGGAAATAATTTCGGACTATAATAAATGCTACAATAAGGCCTTCAAAAGCACAGATCAGAGTGAATCCTTGGGATCTGACCTTGCTGTTTTCTCAGGTCTGAACAAAGAGGTTGGGAAAGAATGGGAGAAAGACAAAAGTACATAGGGAACAGAAGTAAGGGAATGTGCAAACGAAGGAGGAATTAAACCAGAAGACACTGACAGACCTTTGAAACACCAAAAGTCATCTTAGTCTTGCAAGGGAGCAGATTTGTTAATAAGAAAAGACTTGAGCACTCCCCTTAAGCAGCTTTCGAGGACTAGAAAACATCCCTGTCATTAGTCTTCTCAGGACCATGAGTTTATTTCTCCCCTGCCTGCTTCTGGTGCTAACCTCTGGGAATCTCTCCTTCCAAGCATCAGAAATCATCTCTGCACAGTGTAGGTTGTCATTTGAAACATCTGCTCCTCAGGCTTAATAAGACTGAATCAGCTTCCAAAATGGACAAGGCACAGGGTCAAGAAATTAAACCTTTAAGCTGCTGACAACTACAGCCTCTTGCTCCCATTACTGGCAGCAATCCTGCCTCACCTGACAGCTCTGCCGACTTCTCCCCCTCTCCCTATAGCACAGTTACAGGCAGGATGGCAACAGTTGCCTCATCCCCTGGAAAACCTGCACCATCTCTTTCCAGTAACTATGTGGCAGATGCATCAAGTACCAACCACAGGGGCTCCAAGGTGGTGACAGGGATAACCACTTCCACCTTCTGCTCAAGAAGCAAGCTCTTCTAGCTCAAAACACACGTGGACCAAGACCTGTGCTTGCTCCTTGAGCTCAGCATCTGCCTGCTGGGACAGTGATTTGAAAGACAAATTGTTGCACCACAAGTGAATTGTTCCATGTGGTACTGTGATTTATGGATATTCCCCCTATAAAGACACTGATAAAGAAGGGAAACAACCAAAACCCTCAGTTTTAATATCTAAAGTAGTTTTGGTATTCCTTCGTGACTCCCACCTGAATCTCAGAAATATGCAGAGGAGACAAGAGAAAGCTGCCTGTCCGTCTCGCAAGTTCATGCCAGGACAGTGTCTATTGCTTGGCTACTCTGCATCTGTCACTCTACCCCATTACATTTTCCTTGTCCCCGAAGGAATGCAGTTGGAAAACAAGTCTTCAAGGACAGAGGGCGAGCAAGAGCGGCAGGGCTTGTCTGCTCAGAGTAGATGTCACTTGTCCAGCAAGACCCTGGGAGACATTCTGCCCAAAGGAAGAAGAGTTGAGGTGCCTGCTTTTCCTTCATCTCTATTCCCCAAGGTCCCTTCTCCTCCACACATGAATGCAAGGGGAAGGATGGCAGAAGGAGTACATCACCACCTCATTTTGAAGTTGAGGGAGTGAAGCAAACTCCCTTTATGGGAAGGGTAAGAAGTAAGGACTGTGTGTGTACCCGAGACACCTGTTGCATCCCCTCCAGTGGCGAAAAGAAGTTCCACTTCATGCACTCTCCCAGTGGGACAGGGAAGGGAAGATGAAGCACAGTATCATCCCTTTCCTAGCAGAGAGGATAAAGATAGCAGAGGGAAAATGAGGCACCAGCCATCTCTTCCATCATTCCTCACTAAAGAGGGATCAGAAGTGTGTGTGTGGTGGGGAGGCAGCAGACACACTGCTGTTTCTACCCTGCTGCTTCTGAAGGAAGGGTGTATTTGCCTTCAACATTTCCCCTTGAGGGAAGCAGGGGGGAATGCTGAAAGCAAATACCCAGCTTCATTCACCCTTTGTTTAGGAAAAGGGAAGCATAAGCAGTAAGTTTCTCAGTCATGTGCCTTCCCACTGGCTTCTGCACATCAAGAAATAAGATGCCCTTTCCCATGTCTCTGTATGCCAGGTGTGAGCGCACAGATCTCTGTCTCCTTCAGGTGCATATGCACAAGAGGTCAAGAGAAGGAAAGGTGCCCAGTTCCTTTTGCAGCTGGAAGTGGCCGAAAAGGTGCCCAGTACACCCTCCCCCATGACCCTGCATGAGGGGTGGGGGCTACCCAGTGCCTCGTCCTCCCTGTGTGTGTGTGGTGGGGTGCCCAGTGCCCCCACCCTCAAGCACATGCTGAGGGATGCCCACGCCGCTTCCCTTATGAGTGTGCCTGAGAGGGTTGGATGCTCAGTGCCACCACCCCCCCCAAATGCAAAGGATCCCCGAGACTTGGAAGGGAAATTCTCAGTGCCTTCTCTCTCAGGTGCGTGTTGGAGATGGGCACCCAGGGTGCCTGTATCCTTCATCTTCAAGTGCACACGGGCAGCAAGCAGTGTCTGGCTCCTCATTACCTATGTGGGTGTGCTGGAGGGGTATGAAGGGTGACCCCAGTGCAGGGTCTCTGGGAGGATGAGGGATGCCCGGGGTCCCGTGTCGGGAGGCGAGAGGCTGCCCTGCCGTCCCCCCGCCGGTCTCGGTACGAGAACACCGGTATCCCCAGGTCCCCGAAGGGGGGCACGGCTGCACTCACGGTTCCAGTAGACAGGGTAGCACTCCGCGTTGGCTACGTCCACCTCATAGAGCCCGCTCCTCACGCACACCGGCTCCACTGCCGCCGCCTCGCCCTCCCGCGGCTCGGATCCGAGGGCGCGGTAGGCCAGCTCGATCCGCAGCGAGTCGTAACCGATGAAGGGCTTCCAGGGCTTCCGGTCCTCCCGGTAGAACCAGCGCACCTCCTCGGCGCTCAGCTCCCGCACCATCTCATAGCGGGGCCGGCCGCCACCCGGCCGCCTCCTCTCAGGGAGCGCTGCCGCCGCCAGGTAGAAGCCGCTGCCGCCACTCTCGCTGCTGGCGAGCCCCGCTCCCTCGCCCTCGCTGTACTCGCCGCCCGTACCCGTGGAGTAGCGGAGCGAGGCGCCGGACTCGGCCGAGTCGAAACCGCCGCCGCCGCCGGCCTCGTCGCTCAGGCTCGGTTCCCGCTGCAGAGCGGCCGCCGCATCCAGCTCCCCCTCGGAGGAGGAGGTAGAGAACGTGGCGAGCGGCGGTCCGGAGAGCTGCTGGGGGCGGCGGGACGGCCGGGTGAGGGGACGCTGCAAGCCGCAGCTCGGCGGCGCCGCCTCCTCCTCGCCGCCGACCGGCTGCTCGCAGGAAGCGGCACCGTGGGCGCTCGCCTCGCCGGGCAGGTCCCAAGCGCCATGCTGCGAGGCGGGACCGGGGTAATCCATGCCGCAGGGGGCCCCGCAACCGCCGCCGGCTCCGTCCGCCCGGGGGCGGTGCCGCTCCGTCACGCGCGTAGCGCAGCTACCGGGGGCGGGGCGTCGGCGCGAGGCGTGCGGGCTCGCGGCAGGGAGGAGAGGGGCGGGGCGGGAAGGGCGCCCTCAGACACCGCGGGCGTCGTGTCCGTGTGTGTGTGGTGGGTCACGGCCCGCAACCCTGTCCGGCTGTGAGACAGCCTCGGACACAGCCTGCAGCCACATCTGCATGTGTGAGGTGTCCCCACACACAGCCTACAGCCTGAGGTGAGTGTGAGACACCTCCAGACACAGACCCAGCTCTGTGTGTGTGTGTGTGTGTGTGTGTGTGTGTGTGTGCGTGCGTGTGAGGCACCCTCACACACAGCCCCTGACTCCGTGTATGACGAGCACCTCGGAATACAACCTGAGACCCCCCAGCCTGCTGCGCTGTGACCGTGAGTGTTGCCCACCAACACAGCCTGCAGCCCTCTGGGTAGGTGACACACACAGACCAATGCCCTGAAGTGCAGCCCGAGGCCCAGTGGCCTCACAGGTAAACGAGACACACTGAAACATAGCCTGCAGCCCCGTGTGTGAGTGATGGGTACCCCCGAAACACAAACCACAGCTTGGTGTGTTTATGGCAGGCACTCCTGAAACAACCCTCTGTGGCTGTGGCCAGCACTCACAAGACACAAACTGTGGCCCCATATGGGTGACAGAAGATCTTAAAGCACACCTTGCACCCTGATGTATGTGTGTGTGAGAGAACACACATCCTGCAGCCCCGTGGGTGATTGGTACCTGTGTGACACCTCTAGCAGTCATTCATCTTGCATTGTGTGAGCCATCTGACTCCCCCATCACTTTTCCTGCTACCCGATGGGATCGTTGGTGTTGATCTGTGTGTGCTGCTCCCTACAGGCTGCTAGGAGGTAACTGAGTTTTGACCTGTAAGTGTGGGTGTCAGGCCCCACACACTCCTGGTAACTTAGCAGGATGAGTAGGGTACACGTGTATACAAGAGAGCCATCCCCAGCCAACACTGCAGCATTCAGGGAAGTACTGGGGTTCAGGTGCAGGTGGGTAAGCAGACCCTCACACCCAACAGGGGTGTAACCTGTTCATCTCCATGTGCACTGGTGGTGTCGCACCCTGCAGCTAGCTACTGAAGTGCAACAGGGATCCCTCCTGTATGCATGCAACCCTACCTCCCACTCCAAGGAAACCCTGCAGGCTGACAATCCTAAACTAAACCCTACAGGCAGACAGTCACGCACAGTGTGACACTATGTGAGATGTCCTGCCTCAGCTCAGCACCCCAATAGCTGAGCAGGAAGAGATGGTCAGGTTAGAACTCTACTTGTTGGTGTGACACCCCTTTTTTACTTCAGCTAAGAATTTCTCAGCTGTGTAGGAGTGAGACAAGCATATCCCAAATACACACTCTGCAGAGCAACAGGGAGTCAGCAACCTGGCATCACCTTTGTGTGAGAGCCTCACTCCTCCAAATGCCCCCCCAAATTGGAGGGATTAGGGTTGCTTGTTCGTGTGTGTAAGGGAGAAACAGCCACTTCCATTGCCTCCATAATCAACAGGAGGGGGTGTTGAGATGTATATTTGTGTGATTAAACACCTGGCAGCCTGAAGCAGGAAAAAGGGTGAGGGAGGGTGCCTGGGTTTTACACCTGTGAGAGACAACTCATCCCAACACACACCCACAGCTGAGTGAGGGGCAGTGATGGATCACTTTTCTGATGCCAGTTCACACACACCACCACCACCCCCCCTCCCTCCTTTCTCATGGGTTGTGGGTTGTTGTGTCTGTGGGAAAGAGAGAGACTCCCAGAAACACACCCTGGCTTACTGGGGTGGGGTCACCTGTTTATGAGACACCCCCCCCCCCCCATTTCACAACATTCCCAGGAGGAAGGAGGCGGTGAGAGGGTATGCGAGTGATACTGCTATCTCAGTTACACCTCAAAGGGCAAGGGAGCTGATACCCACACCTTTGCACACCTGTGTGTACAACATGCCTGCTGCCTTACTCATAGCCACGTTATAGCAGGTCAGGGCACTGGTCTGAAACCTTTAGCCATACATCGTGCAGCCTGGTGGGGGAATGTGGCTGTGTGTAGACTGTATCACCAACCCCAACCTTCATGCATGCACACATACACACACTTTTTCCTAAAGTAAGAATAGGGGAAGGAGGCCTGTGGTGGATGGCTGGGTTTTAACCCTCCTAAAAGAGGCAGCTACTGGGTGTGTATAGAGTCAGAATGGAGGAAGAAAAGTAATTGGTTTAACGTCATACAATTTTGTGTGCCTCCACCCCTAAATGTCTGTCATTCTGCTTGATTTACATCAAAGTCTCTCTCACAGGCCTACTGTCAGCTGTGGGAAAAAACTGTGCTCTTTGATTTTCCTGTCTCCTACACATTCTGCTTGTCTTCATCCTACAATTTCCAGCAACAAGGGGTCTTCTGTGCATTGCACAGCATTGTGTGTCCAAAATAGGTTTGTGCCCTACCTCTTGCATCTGCTTTCAGCTGGGGAATCCTGTTAGTGGAGTATGTTAAAAATGCAGAGAGAGGCCAGATTAAGTTTAGGCTGGAAAGGTAGGTGAGGCTTTTAAAAATGTTCACTGCTGGTGTGTGATTTCCCTGAGTCATTAAATTCATGCTGAAGGTCTGCTCATGAATCCTTGAATGCATCATCAACACTTTTTAATGCTAAAAGCTCCAAGAATTTGCTAGCATTCATGAGTCCCCACCACAGGAGCTTGATGCATGCTTGTTCTACCTTTTCAGGTGGAGAAAGAGGGCATTTTTATCTCAGATTTTTATCCACAGTGGGGAGTCAAAAAGGAATGTTACTTACCTTATAGACAAGAAGACAAAGAATCTTTGAAGACAAAGGCTGTTAAGAATCTCACTTTTTATCCTACTTCCATCAACACCAGGGATATTTCACCTTCTTTTATCATTCAGCAACTGTTTCACCCTTATTTATGTCATCCTCCTCAAATTCTCCCTCCTTTAGTTCCTTGTCTGAGATCAAGGAAAGACTGTCCACATGAACAAGGGGCACTTCAAATGTTCTTTACCTTTTTTATATATTCTTTCAGATCATTTGATTTGTTACTATGTACATTTCTGGGAGTATATATCTGCTCTCCAAATGCAGATGCTACATTCTGGTGCCCAGTGTCTCTGTAGACAATAGACAGAAAGCCCTGGTGATTCATCATCATCAAGCTGAGCGACTGAGAGTTGCAATGTGAATGTTCTTCATTACAGCTATCTTGGAGACCTACATGGCCTGAAAACTGGTTTATTAAAGGCAAAGCTAACTCCAGAGCCTGTATCCCCTCCTGAAAGAGTCCCAGTAGCTTTTACTTTAGTTTTGTGAAGAAGGTCTTTGCTGGGGTAGGCTGGTATAAATGAAGTTGAGAGTCCAGACCTCTCTCATTTCAGCTCAAAAAAGGAGTATATTCCCCTTTTTACTGTTAGCAGCTCTGGGCTCATAGGTGTGGAGTAGCTTGGAAGTTTCTGGCATGACACAGGACTCAAGTTCCATACCATATACTTACATGAAATGGAAAGGAAGGCCAATTGTATAAACCTCATTTACCATTACAGGAGAAAAGTTTCCTTAGAGTGGAATAAATATGGAAGAATGTAAATGTCTATATGGAAGTTTTACAGCAAAATTATCATTATTTTGAAATGTCATTTATATAGCACTGTGAATTTCTGTGCAAACAGATAAGTGGATGCTGTGGTCCCACTCTACTTAGCTCTTGTCAGGCCACACCTGGAATACTGTGTTCAGTTTTTATCCCCACTATACAAAAAAGATGTTGACAGGCTGGAGAGGGTCCAGAGGAAGACCACAAAGATGATCCAAGGACCAGGAAGATGTGTGGGGAAAGGCTGAGAGAGCTGGGCTTGTTCAGCCTAGGGAAAGAAGGCCCAGGGGAGACCTGATCACCATGTTCCACTATTTAAAGGGTTGCTACAAAGAAGACAGAGACTCTCTTTGGACAAAGGAGTCCCATGGAAAAGATGAGGATAGTGGGCACGAGTTACTTCTGTAGAGATTCCGACTGGACACGAGGAAAATTTTTCACAGTGAGAACAATCAGCCATTGGAGTAATCTCCCCAGGGAAGTGGTGGATTCCCCAACACTGAACTCTTCTAAGATTAGGGTGGACAGGGTGCTGGGACATCTCTGCTTTGCCTAGAAAGGTTGGACAAGATGATCCTTGAGGTCCCTTCCAACCTGGTATTATATGAGTCTATGATAATGCACTGCAAATAATGTCTGAATATCCTCCAGTTTTTAAAATTACTTTAAAAAAAAAAAGTAAAAATGTGCACACAAGAAATGGACTCTGAATTTCTGCAGCAACTTCACCATAAATGAACGCCAGCAATGCCTCCTATTTATCTCACTCATCCGGATAGCCCATGGTTGTTGTTAGCTCCAGTGGCCTCAGCGTTGCACTGGAGTTAGCTCGCTACAAATGTCCTCAAGTGCAGTTTTCTACAGGACAGTCGGCTGCTTTCCAGGGTATGGACTAAGAGGCACGTCTGCCTTTAGAGATACTGTCTGTGTGATCCTGCGCAGTGCTGAATACTTGTTCCTAAGTGCACTTTGCACTTGCCTGTCCTGAGATTTCCTTTAAGTAAACTCATTTTACCATGTTCTCCTAATTATCCTCATCCCAGCAGTCTTTGTTTGCAAGACAAGCTACTCCTATTAGTGCAATTTTAAATAGTATAGTCAAGTTTTGAAACTACCAGAGTTCACAAATGATGCAATCATCTTGTGTTTTCTTGTAGATCCTAAATGAAATACAATGAATAGCACAAGCACAAGTGCTTGCAAGAGTCCATTAAAAAGAGTCTTTATTCATTGATGAATCCTTTATAACAAAGCCATTTGAAGATATTTGCAATAGCTATTTTTAAATCATTTATTATGCACTCCTATTGATTTTGTATTTTTTTTTATTTTCTCAGATCTGGATACTGTGCA